ATTTATCCTAGGTTTCAGGTTGTATTTGTTAACTGATCCTTTATCCATGCTAATATATTAAATATATTGCCCTGATGCCATCTTTCATGTGACACCTTATTATATACTTTTGGAAATCAAAATATACATTGATTGGGTCCTTATCATCCAGCCTGCTTGTTACATTCTAAGGTGACACAAATCAATTTGTAAACATGTTTGCTTTTCATAAACCTATGTTAACTTTGTCTGATTGTAGTACAATGTTCTAAATATCCCATTACAGCTTCCTTAATGATCATTTCCAGCATATTTCCACTGACAGATGTTTGGCTACACAGTCTACAGATTCCTGCTTCTCTTTCACTCCTCTCTTGAATAGAGGTGTTACATTTACTGCTGGAATTTATAATAAATCGAAGGAGTGTTGGAAAATTGCAATCAATGCATCCACCATCTTTCTTTCGATGACTGATTATGCTTATACTGGACAGACTTTGAAACAGACCCAAGCAGTTCATAAGTAGCAACTGTTACAGGCTAATCTTCAGTCTGAGAAACTGATGATTATGCAAATTTGAAATTCACCAGAGCACTATGCAGGACTTTCTCTCTTAAAAGAGGAATTTGTCATCCACTGGATACCTGGAGCAAATCACATTCACAGGAATATGACCTCAGTGTACAATTGGGCTGCAAGTATCTTTCGTTAGGACCAGTCGTGGAAAAATTGAAGACTGCTTGGTGGTCAATCCTCAACTTAGACATCTTCTATTTATATACTCACTGTCTTCCAGAACTGCATCTTCATCTTACATCAGAAGAACCAATTAGATTAGCTGGCTCATCTAATTGATACTTAACAACACATGCATTTTTAGATTGACTATGACATGGTGTAAAATTTCACAAATATTTAAACAGTTACGTTTATCAGTAAATATATTGTGAAATAATTTAATATGGAACAGTAATAATAATTTTAAAGATTTATAGTTTAGGTTTTATTCAATAAATACTCAACATGGAAACAATTTATTTTATTAATGTATAAAAGACTGATATTTTTGCTTCTTAACTCAGTTAGAAATGGGGATTACATTTCATTTTCTTCAAAATAACTCCTCACCAAACCTACAAACAGATAAAGTAGTGAAAATATTAAGAAAAACATGTTTAAGACCTTTACCTTGAAAATTGTGTTTGATATTCAAATATTCTCACTTGTTATAATTTTATTTAAAAGGAAAAGTTACATGTTGATGCTTCTGTGCAAGATTTTATATAATTTATTCTATCATGATCACTCATAATTTTATTGATAATTCAAATTTTTCCATTATGTGGTCTTATAATACTTCTAATTTATTTGTTTCATGTTCATTTTTAGTCAGAAAGGAATGCGTTTAAAAGAATGAATAAAATATCTTCATAAAGTTAATTGCATCCCATTCAGCTACGATAGTCAATCTTTTCCAACATTTGGGATTACACAATTTTTAATAACAGTGAAGGAGTGGTTTGCTCCTAAGCCCCAGCTTGTTACACAAAATTATGTTTTACCTTTGAAAAGCTAATTATTTTCTTTTGCTATATGAAGCGCAGAAACTAGTAATAATCAATTTAATTATGATCCACACCCAGGTTGAACTAAATGAATAAGTCAATAAGCAATCTTTCACTAATGCTGTGGTTCACAATGAAATGTGATCATTTATATCAGGTCTGAGATATTCACTTTCCAATGTCACTCTGCATTTGTGGAATGTTGCTCAAATTCATCACGGCTGATTATAACAAGTAGAAATTAGCATTTTTCCCCATTGGGAATAAGTTATTTTTTGGCTGATCAACAATCTCTGGTTCTTGATAAACATGAGTATAGACCTTTTAAAAAAAAAACTTATTTTGCTCTGAACTGAAATGGGTATGAAACACCTTAAACAAATAATAAACCAATATGCTCAGCCAACGTCACTGCTGTTTCACTGACGTCCTAAAACTAGCAGTGAGCAAAATACAACCTATTGCACTAATCTTGCATTTAGCCCGTTCCATTTTCAGAAACCTTATAGGGATGTTTGCCTTTAATTGCTATTAGCAACAAGTTTATGTCTAATTGTAATACGTCTTTATAAAATACATTGATTAAACACAAATAAAAAGACTACTTTTTTCTTTGTTTGTTCTCTTAGTAATTAGTACCGATCATACCTAAGTGGTTGGGTATACTATCAATTAGCTAATGCCATTGTGTCATATGGCTACATTGAACACAAGAGAACTCAAAGGCAAAGTTAGATGATACAATATCATCTAATCTCTAAATCATGGATACTTTTGAAATGATAGGCTTTCCAAATGCCGCAGGATATTCTTAAAACTGCTCACTGCCTGACACACTCGCTGATCACACTCTGATCTCCCCAGCCTACTTTCCAATCCAACCAATCATTTGGACACTTGCTGCTCACCCCCCCAACACACACACACACACACACCTCCTCTACCAGCAGACAGCTCAGTAGGAAATGTCAGGGAAGTAGCTGGTGCCTGTGTATCTCAAGGAGAGACACCAACAAAGAGAATCACATCTGTTGAATGTATAGAAAGGAAATGCCTGCAAGCTCATCAGAAAGTAATAAGTTAAAACAAGAATGAGACTTCACTGGATTTGAGCATCCATGAAGGATTTTGTTGGGTAAAGGTTTGAACATTTCTTTTAGCGGTTTATGCTCAGATCTTTCTAAATTGTTACAGATGTAGTTTAGCTTGCTTTTATTTTGGGTAATAAATTGTGTTCTTCTGTTAAAGAAAAACTGGCAGCCTCGTGAATATGTTCAGAAACTGACCACCATAGCAACCAAACTGCAAAAATAAAACTCCCAACCTATCAAGGCAAGTTTCACTCAAAGGTCAGACTTGTCCAATATTACCATTAGCTGAGGTCAAAACAATTTAATTCCTAACTGCAGGGGCAGGAATTTCATTCATTTGTCTTGATACCAGGTTGAAATATGGGGTATGATCCCATGAGCGTTGGCTCAATGTGTGATTTTGAAGAAGCAGTAGGCCAAGAATGACAGCATGCCCGAGAGGGTGGAGGCCCACAGAAGGTCATTCACTGTGTGAAGATTTGAAAACCTTTCACCACAAGTTCAAGCAGTTGAAGTAGGAGACTAAGCTGCCTCGATACAGAATAGGCTAGACTCTAAATATTAGAACGCTTTTTAAATAAAATGTGGTCACAGCTGCAAGGCTGCCATGACGGAGAGGGAATCTCCACCTATCGTAATAGGTCGGCACAACATCGTGGGCCGAAGGGCCTGTACTGTTCTATGTTCTATCAGTTAGGGCTCAACCTCATTTAGGCAGCACAATGCAATCTGGAAAATTCTAGTGTGTCAAAGAGTGTCCTTATTAGATATATTAATTGGCTTTAAATAACTACCTGTTGCTGGCTGGTGGGAGATATCAAACACCTGAAATAGCATCCACGATTATTCACTAAAAGTACAAACAATGGGACTGCAATGCTACCAGGCAGGGCTGAATTACCGGTACAATAGCCCTCAATCCTACCTCTAAGTCATGTTCCTGGTTTCAAGTTTCATCAAATCAGATTTACCTTAAATCCAATTATTTATAAACTGAAGATACCCTCGTGCAACTAGAAGCATGTAATTTTGTTTTGGTTACCAGCCAGATACAATGCTTTTTACTGAAATCAAATACTGGTTTATTCTGTTGTGGGCCATACCATCATTTATTTTATGTCTTATAACCAAGAGTTACGATATAGCTTGTAATCACAATTGCAAAGTGGGAGAGGAGTGGGTGGGGAAGGGAAGAGAGTGGAAGGGGAGGCGAGTGTGAGTGGGTGGGGGTATTTAGTGGAGGAGGAAAGCAGGGGCAGAAAAGTATCAAAGGGCATGGCAGTGCTGGCTTCCCACCTCTTGGTGGGACTAGGCTTTCCAGGAGCACTGCTGCAGGCCTCAGGAGCAAACGTGAGCAAGACAGTACATCGAAATGACAAGTGATCAGAAGGTTAGGGTTATGTTTGTGGTCTGAGTGAAGATATTTTGCACAGGTCACCCACCGAGCAGCAGACTAGAATGAAAGAAGTTCATGCAAGTCACTACTTAGCCAGGAGTGTTTGGAGCCTTGAACAGTGAAGACGGAAGGAGGGGCGGGTATACCTTCTATAATTACACAGGAAGGTGCTGCAAGAAGGGGAGGTGGGGGAGAAAGATGGGTGGAGAAGTGCTAGGACTGATGCAGTAAAGGATCAGGGTGTCACATAAGAAACGGTCCATCCGAGAGGGTTGGGGAAGCTACGTTTAATGATGGCATCACATTGGAGGTGATAGAACGAGCAGAGAATGATCCTTTGAATGTTGAGGTTGGAGGGGTACAAACTGATGTCAAAGGGAATGCTAATGGCCTTTGGAGGCAGGGCAAGGGTTGTAAGCAGAAATGTGAGAAATGGCCTAGACACGGCTGAGCACCCTGTCAACCAGGTAGAATCAGCCATCATTAGAACAGATATAAAATGAGATGAAGGAAGTGGGAGAATCGCATTGACTCTTCAGAAGAAGCACGATGAGAACCCTGGACCTGCCTTTTTTTTCTTAAACTAACCCGTATTCTCCCAAGTATCTACTGAAATTACACTGAACTATCATTTCTTAACTCTTTATTGCTACTGAAATTTAGCAGAACAGCTGGCCTCATCTTTTTTAACAAGGGGAAATCTTCAGTCTCTGGCATCACCTCAAAGCAATATCAGAAAACTTTGACCAGTGTTATGTTTGTTATGTTTTGTAAAGTAATTTGCAGAATTTTTAAAATCTACAGATGCAAGTAGGGACACAGGATGGTAGGCAGGATTACATCGAATAGCCAATGTGGAACCTAATCTAACGATATAACCATTTTGGCATTGGTTCTGAGAAACAGACATGTAGAAAACCACAATAATATGTTGTCTTTTGAAAGGACACATAAAAAGTGACCACGAGTTGATTTGTCTACAGATTATTTTTTATGGTACACATTTAAAAGTACATAAATACTCAAATTTTTAATATATTTATTCAAAGGTAGGCTCTTTCGCTCACATGATTTTGCTTTCTGTAGAGCCTAAAGATATCTTTAATCTACACTTTTATAACACATGAAATTCATTATCTTTTGCACTTGGTGGTGAAGACATAGAAAAATTTACCACTCATTCATAATTATAGCTTTCTCAGCAGTGGTACAAGATCAATATTCGAGGCAATTTTAGCACTGTAGAAGTTTCAAGTTGCTCTACAGTGGATAAACTAGAGTTAATTTAACTAACTCATAGGCACTTTAAAGCAACAAGGCTTTAGCCTGTGTCTGGTGTGTCACACTAAATTCGCAGAAGTTAGAAGAGCTTTGCATGGAGATAAATCTTTAAATATTTGTCTTTTAAAAAAAGGGAAGCAATTGGAAATTTGGCTTGAAACAAATACAGTTGCAGAAAGTGCACCTGGAAGCATCATCTGCTTAAGTTCCCAACTTTTTTCTTTGTTTAGTTTTAACCTTTCCTCTCTTTTCAAACACAGGTCTAGCTGTTATCATAATATTATCATCACTCTCATCACTTGAACTGCTGCTCATTTTGGTGGTCTTGTCCTTTTCTGGAGTTTTCTTATGCAAATTCATAACTTTGGAATGTTTTGGTTTAAATTCATAATCATCTATTTCAGAGTCAGAGTCATCAGACGTTTTCGATAAATTTATGGATCCAATAAAACCTCCTCCGGAAGGCTGCTCTGGAGATTTCCTTTTTCCACGCTGTATTTGAGAATTATGCGACCTGCCTTTGACTCCAGATGCTCCTTGCTGGCTCTTCCCTTCCACTGCTGAATTACTGGCTGCTTCTATTATCCCAGTACTTCCTTGAGTCTCTGTTAAAGCTTCTTGTTCTTTCCTCAACATACAAGTCACAGCCCTGCGAAGCCTTTGGCTTTTTATTACTTGCTTCTCATGCTGTTCGATTCTGAAGAAGGAATCAATACGTAGCTGGGACTGCAAAGGAAATAAATCATTAGAACATGCCACAAAAAAATGAGTATGAAGCTCAACTTTCTAAAATTAGTTCAAAATATAAAATCACAGATGTAAGTGGCAGCATTTTCTCCCTTTGAGATGTATTCCAAATGAAAGCTCCCTAGGAGCCTAGATGACAGTGAACACAAGATACCCATCTCTATCAAACTGGCCTATAGCGTATAACTTTACACTCGTACCACTCTGCTCGAAGAAAGATGTGTCTGCTGTTTTTACTGTTCATGGCACAAATTTCTACACTTTTCTTTCTCGAATAAATTTGTCAAATTGGATCTGACCACAGATATGGTCAAATGTATTCCTCACTGTTACCAACAGGTAGGAGATCCAACATGAAGATATTAGTCAGAAGCATTGTTTTTAAACATCAGTGGATCTTGGAGGAAGCTGCTTCACTTGGATGCCATGAAAGAAAAGGATATTATGTTTCAGCACTGGATTAATAATTGAAAACCAGTTGCAAAGAATTGTGTTGGGACTCACTATTACACATGACCCCTTTTGAGATTCATTAAAAAGTTAGCTTACTTATATTTTCCGAGCGATTAACACTCAAACACACTCAATGTGACTATCAATAATGAAATACTGAAACTGTGAAGACTTACCTGTTGGGCATTGATTTGCTTCATGACAGGTAAAAGAACTTCATCAGTCTTCTTCCTGGTCCAGCCAAAACGGTTCTCACAAAATTTGCCAAAAGTTAAAGATATATTTTATGAAGTGAAGAATATTGCTAAATAGGAATGTGACAAATTATTAATGCAAGGGTTAACTAAAAGAACTTTGTGTCTGTGATTTTCTTAATATTGCCCATATTTTCTCAGTCTAGAATACTTTCAAGCCCAGCTTGTGTTAACTGTGATAATACTGGCCCAGTTTGTGTTTTGAACTAAATGAACTTGTAAGTGAGGGATGCTGTAGGAAGCTGTGGTAGACTTGAGTGTTACAAATAGATATCATCCTGTTCAGTTCTCTATTCAGATAGTGGCAGTTCTCCTGAAACTTTTAAACACAAGACACAAAGTCCATGGGAGCTGGTATCCCACTGTAATTACAGAAATTACAAAATCAGGCTCAAGAGACTGCAGGAGGGTCAAAGGGGAGGATCTTGGGGTAACTGTCCTTGATAGGTTCAGACAACCCTCAGGAAAGGACCACCACTTTTGTATGATACCAGCCCACTTAATGAGACAGGCTCCACCCACACCACTGACAAAATTCAGACAGACGAGGGAAAATGCCTTTTTGTAGCCATTAATTTACTAAGATGTCAAAGCCCCAAGGGTGGGATGTGATGTGGTGCCAATCAGTTGGGTTTCTTCCCCCTAGGAGATGTTGAGCTTTGAATGTTGTCGGAGCTGCACTCATTTAGGCAAATGAAAAGTGTACCTTCACATTCCTGACTTTTTCCTTGTAAGGGTTGGGACAGGTTTTGGAGAGTTAGAAGTTTCAGATTCTGACCTGCTCTTGTAGCTGCAATATATATTTGGCCAATCCAATTCAGTTTCTGGTTAATGATAACCCCCAGGCATGTTGACAGTGAGGGCTTCAGTGATATTAGTGCCATTGAACAACAAAGAGAGACATTAGATTCTTTCTTGTTCAGGATGTTCATTACCTGCAAAATGTAATTTGCCACTAGTCATTCCAAGTCTTAATGTTGTAGAGGTATTGCTGCATGTGGTCAAGGACTGCTTCAGTATTTGAGGATTTGTGAATGGTGCTGACTATTGCACAATCACCACTGACCATCCCCATTTCGAGTTTATGAAGGAGGGAAGGCTATTGATGAAGTAGCTGAAATGGTTGGGACTTGGACATCACCCTGAGGAACCCCTAACACAATGTCCAACAATCACAAACATCTTCCTTTGTAATCATAGAATCCTTACAGTGTGGAAACAGGCCCTTCAGCCCAACATGTCCACACCAACCCTCAGAGCATCCCACCCAGACCCATCCCCCTATACCCCACCTAAACTACACATCCTTGAACACTACGGGCAATTTAGCATGGTCAATCCACCTACCCTGCACATCTTTGGACTGTGGGAGGAAACCGGGGCACCCGGTGGAAACCCACGCAGACACAGGGAGAATGTGCAAACTCCACACAGACAGTTGCCCGAGGGTGGAATCGAACCTGGGTGCCTGGCGCTGTGAGGCAGCAGTGCTAACCACTGAGCCACCATGCCACCCAAATGTCCTAGAATGATATCAACCAGTGAACAGTTTTCCCACTAATTTCTACTGACTTCAGTTCTGCCAGATGTCCTTGATGTCACACAGCTCAGAGTTTAGCTCAAATGTCCATATGTGGACCAAGACCGTAATGAGATCAGACACCGAATTAGTCTGGAAGAAGCTAACCTGAACTACTATCTGTGAACAGGTTATTGATGTGTAAATGCTGTTTGATAGCATTATCAACAATACCATCCATCACCTCACTGATGATTAAGAGTAGAACAATGGAGTAAGCAGGACAAGCAGTAATAAAACAGGACATTGCTGGTGATTAGCACTGAGTTAGGAGAAGAGCAAAAGCAAACTAGATTAGTTTCATGCAGCTGTAAAATAGGGGTTGGTGTCCTCATAATGATATAAAAATATCACCGTATGATACTGTTATGATGTAGCAGCAACTGGATGCTCCCTGTAAGCCAACGTGGTATATGAATTTCATTGTTGGTGTGATGCAGAGCTTAGGAACAGGAATAAAGCCAGTCAGCCCAACAAGCCTATCCATACGACCATCATTGATCAAACATTTCCAAACCTTTTATACACCCAATCTTCACAATCCTGTTTGCCACTAGTAGTGAGAGGTCTATCAATGTCTACCTTAAACATATTCAAAGACTAAGCTTCCACGGTCCTCTGTGGTAGAGAAATGCAAAAGTTCACAATCCTCTGAATTTTAAAAAAAAAATCTTCTTCATTTTGTATCTATGTGGCATTTCCATGCCCAAGCTCTTGGCTGTCAGAATACACTTGTCAACCACTCCCCTCTCATACAAAATAGTTGTTTTTCCTTTACATTGGTATTTTGTGCAGATTGTCCTGATGAGAGCAAGACAGAAACAAAATATGCCTTTACTCAGTAATACTTGAGCTCTGTACTACCAAACAATGATTTGCTCAATATGAAAGAATGTGATATATTGCAGATAACTTATGACAAAAAATATGGTCTATAAAGTTACATTTATTCTCTCAAAATAAAGCTAACTTTCTTTTTGATAATTCTTTCTGGAAAAGGATATTCCCTGATCTCATCAAGGTCTGGCCTACCCCAGGACAGTGATACCTTAGATTCATCTACAGCAGGTTTCAGATATTCTTCTGCCACTGCAGGGTTTGGAAAACCTGGGTAAATGTCGAGGTGTCGCAGTTTTTTCTTCACTTTTGTATCATTTGGATTGTCTCGCAGTTTTTTATTTTTCTGGGCTTCAGTCCACCAGTCTCTGAAAGAGAAGTTGTTTATTAACTGTGTTAACACACCTGAATAAATATAGCTTTTTCGTAGAATTATAAGCCCAGAATATAAACTTGCAGATTTAAAAAAATATATTTCAAAGCATGCAATATATATACTGTAAGCATACGTTGAAAGCAATATATAAATAAATAAGCCGACCTGTCCAAAGAATTACAGAAGGTTCACAAAAATCTAACACTCCGTTATTCAAAATTCTACTTCTATTACATTTTCTTCGACATTAATAAGTTTCTGGAAAATATGCTCAATGTGGATTCAGTCCCAAGTTCACAGAGTAATGACACAACTATAACAAAACCTATCACATTGGAACATAGCAGCAGGAAAATGCCTTCCAGCTCCTTAAGGAGCTCTGCTATTTATAATCAAGGTTGATTATCTAGCTCAAATCACATTCCCATGCTATCCCTATATTGCTTGATGGTATTAGTAACTAGAAATGTGTCAATTTCTGTCTTGAAAACACTTAACGACTGAGCTTCCACATTCTTCAATGATAAGGAATTTCAAAAATTCACCATCCTGTGATAAGTGACATTCCTCCTCATCTCAGTCCTAATTGGCTTGACTTTTATTATGAGGTGGTGCCTCCTGGTTCTAGACCCATAAACAGGGGAAGCAGCTACCATGACTAGTCATTAAAAACAATGCAAGTTTCTTTGAGCTGACCTCTCATTCTTCTCAACTTGAAAGAATATAGACACAGTGTCCTCAATCTCTGCTCATAAAACAGTCCCACCAGTCCAGGAACCAATCGGGTGAACCTGTGTTGCACTCCCTCTATACCAGATGTATCATTGATTAAGCAAGGGAACCAGAACCATACACAATACTCCAGGTGCAATCTTACCAACACTTTATACAATTGAACCAGGATTTCCTTGCTCCAGTCTTCAAATCCTCTTGCAATAAAGGTTAATGTACTGTTTGCCTTCTAAATTGCTTACTGTACCTGTATACTAGATTTCAGTGACTTTTAAACAAGTTTGTTCAAATTCCTTTGGACATCAACAGTTACCAATCTCTCAATAATTTCAAAATTATCAAAATTATATTCCATCTACATTGCCCTTCTGCACTCACTCAGCCTAAATTGTCCATCAACCTCACTGTATCCTCCTCATAACTCAAATTCCCACAAAGTCTGTACCATCTGGAAATTCAAATATTACATCTGACTTTCACATGCAGATCATTGATATAGATTGTGAGTTGCTGGGCCCATACACTGATCTTGCAGTGTCCACTGGTCACAACCTGAGAAAGACCTATTGATTCTGACTCTCCACTTTCTGGCTGTTGATCAATCCTCAACATTGCTACAGAGAGAATTAAAGAATATTTAGAGTGCAGACAGTGGCAATTTGAATCATGTCTTTGCAAGAGCAACCCATCTACTTCCACTCCCTGACCTTTACCACACAGTCCTGACCATTCTCACTCTGCTGATAATGACTGAACTTTGTTGAAAACCATGATGGAATCCATTACCAGTACATTCTAGATCCTAACCACTTCCTGCATGCAAAAGATTCGTGTCACTGTTGCTACTTTTGCCGGTCACCTTAAATTGAGGGCCTGTGGTCTTCCTTACTCTGTCGGTAGAAAGGGCTTCTCCCAATGTAGTCTGTCCAGACCCTCACGTTTGAATATCTCTATAGATTTTTGTTCAACTTCTCAACGCCAAAAAGGATAATAGCCCCATCCTTTCCAATTTATCACCGTAACTTAAGTTTCTCATCCCTGGAACGATTCAAGTGAATCTCTTCCGCGGCCTTTCGAATAGCCTCATGTAGTCTCCTAAGTGCAATGCCCAAGACTGGATGAAATACTTCAGTTGAAGTTGAACCAAGGTTTAAAAGCAAGTTTATCATAATTTTTTGTTTTTGTATTCTACAGCTCTATTTTTGAAGGCCAGGATCCTATATGATTTATTGTCTGCTGTCTTAACCTGCCTGTCAGGTTCAATGATTTGTGCACATACACCATCAGGTCCCAATGCTCCTGCATCATCTTTATAATTGTACCTCTTCTTACTAAAATGAATCACTTCATATTCCTCCGCATTATATTTTGAATGTCACATGTCTGCCCCTTCCACCATCCTGTCTATATCTGCTTAATATTGTGCTCCTCGTAGTTGAGAATACTTCCGAGTTTTGTAATTCACAAATTGATTTGATTTGATTTATTACTGCCACATTTACCAAGGTACAATGTAAAGTGCTGCCTTACGCATTTTACAGGCAGATTGAACTATACAAGTGCATCAGAGTAACAGGTGAAACTGAACTCTGCATGTCCATGTCTGGGGAGGTCTTGTGGCGCAGTGAAGGGTGCCAACACTTATAATTCTCTAGTTGGATCTAGCATGGAATTAATATGCAGATTTACTTCTGTGACCTTACAGTACCATAACGAGAAGATACTGCAGTTTTGAACTTCAGTATTGAGATCTGCAAATAACTAAAATTTTCAGCGCTAAGATTTCAAATCTAAACGGTCGGCTCTTCTGCAAAG